ACCCTTCACAGGGTCAACATTACCTTATACATTATATGATGACTACAGTCAATGACTTGTTGGCAAATGGACAGTCTTCTTTTCTGCATGTCCTCTAGTCACTTCCTCCTCTCTTGCACAGCTTAGTTACTTTGTAGCTAGCGATGCATTCTTTTTTCTTCACTTTTTGTTTTTACTATTTGTTTTCTTTACTAGTTATCAGTGACTACATTACTATCATTTCTCCTCTGAGCTAAAATACTCAGTAAAATCCAAAAAAGATATATTACATGACTTACTACAGAGGCAAAACAGTTACTGAAAAAGCTTTTTAAATGTTTGATGAAACACATACCACATATGCACACATCCCTAAAAGGTGTTCTCAAACACATGGAGAAGCTGTTATAGCATTCATCACAACAATCTGTACACATGAGCCATATCTTACCATACTTTCTGACTGAATCAGGGTTTAATAGTCAATTAAAATCAATCTTGTAGTGAGAGGACAAGGGATAATGGATTAAAACTGGAAGACGGTAGATTTAGATTAGACATTAGGAGGAAGTTCTTCACTATAAGGATGGGGAGACACTGAACAGGTTGCCCTCAGAAGTTGTGGATGTCTCCTCCCTGGAAGTGTTCAAGGAGAGACTGGATGGGAGTTTGAGCAACCTGGTCTAGAGGGAGGTGTCCCTGCCCATGCAAGGGGGTTGGAACTAGATCCTTTTTAAGGTCTCTTCCAATTCAAACCATTCTATGATTCTGTGATTATTTCTGTGTCTGCCTCTCTTTTTTCTCAACATTTCTGTGTGGTTTCAGGATCGTTTCATGCATTAGAAGGGATTCTTCTTCGTTTTGGACCAAGTCATATACACCTACCAGCAGAATAGGAGTTTCACCAAGCACAAGATTCAACAGCACAGCGTATACTTTTTATAAAGGCAAATCATCTCCATCCAAGTTTAAAAAAACCCAGTATTTTCTGCCTTGTTGCACACTGGATGGATAATGACAAAACATCTGGCTAATCTTCCAAGACAGCAAATGTCACCTGGCATATCCCAAGGTCGACAATTACACAGAAAATCTTGCAAAACTAGATAAATTTTAATTTTCTGTCAAGGAAAAGCAGTGGAGAAGATGAAGTGGAATGAACAATAACAGTTCAAGACGGGGTGTTTAACCACACCTGGCTAAAAATTTAGACACTTGTAATTAGGGTAGATCCAGTGGAACTAGCACTTAATTTGTTGTCAGTAGGATAAACTACCTTGAGATTATTCTTTCTTGAGCTTCCCCCCATGATTCTTGTTCCCATACTTCCCTGAGACTGCCTGGGAATACCGACAAGTATAACCACTCACTTGAGAAGTAGAGCTTTGAAAAAATAAAACACTTCCCAAACAAAAAAAAATAATTCCCAAACAACAGCACATAAAAGTTATTCCTACATTTTAAACGCTCTTTTGAGCGTTTTGGTCACACAAATATGGCTGCAATAGTTGTATGAAAGCCAGCAGGGGGAAGCAATTGCCCCTTAAAAGACAACTATATTCTGTCCATGTACAGTATTATATTAACAAGCAAATTAATTGCATGCAAGCTACTGCAGCATTGACCTTTTCCAGGCCGTGCAACTCTCTCACATATTCCTTACTGCTTCTTTTGTCATTTTTTGCTCCTGCATCTAGTCCTGGGCACACTGCACAGCTTGCTATCTGCTATCCCAATCTTCTCAAAAATATTGTCCTCATATGAGATCAACCCAGAGTCCAGTACAGCCTAGTTGTGATATAGAACCTAAAAAACAATCTCATATTTACTGCTACATCATATTCAACGGGTCACAACAGTCACTAGAATATAAGTTTTCCAGGACAGACTGCTGTTGAAGTGCAGGAAGTGGGGAAGACAGGTCCACAACTTGGACAAACCAGGCTTTTGAGATCAGGCCTAGTTATTCACCTTCCTCTGACACCAAAGAGGATGAATCTGCTTAAGAATTACTTGGTCTGCCCCAAATAGCAAACTTGTGCTGTCCCAGGCATCAAGCTGCATCTCATACCTTCATAATGTCTCTTCCAGTCTCCCCACAGTTTCAGCGCAAAAATATGACACAGATACAGTACAGGCCATCTCACACAGTGTGGCACTGACATGGCACTAAGACATCTTCTGCACTAGTCCACAAACAGAAGGAATAAGAAATAATCTCTCTAAGTCTGCCTTCCCTAGCCTATGACAAAGGTCTGCCACTCAAGGAAAAAAATTGTGACAACCAAGCAAAAAAAAAATAATCATATACGTTAAAAAA